TTTTTTTTTTTTTTTTTTTTTATTAACATCAACTGTTGTACTTTATCTTCTTCAGGTAGAGCTTGACAGTCAGCCTGACAGCTGGAGGCAAAAATGTTTTCACAATTGAATTTCAAATAAGATTAAAAAAAGATGAAAACATCCGCAAACTGGCATGTCACTATTTGTAATACTGTACACGTTTGTTTATTGACGGGGGAAATATATCTCATGTGGAGACAATAAATGCTGTAACCGACATGTGATGAGCAGGTTGTGTTTTGTTTGCTTGTCATCATTTTATATGTGATAATGTACTCCTTACTGTGAAATGTAAATTCATGGAATGACCACCAAATGGTATTGTGGGAATGGTGAAAAGCTGCAAGTAAAAAGGTTTTACAAAATCACTAAAATTGAGATCTGACAATGACCTCATTGACTATCAGAGAGACATGCTGGGCAATGTATATTTGTTTTATTCGGATTCATTATTGATAAAGCGTTTGAGCGTTTAAAAATCCTTTTATGTTACATAGTTTTTATGAATATATTATAGGCATTTTATAATATGCAGAAACAGCATCATTTTCCAAAAAACTTTAACACGTATCATTAAAAAGCAGTTCTTGAGCTCCAGTCAAGTGACCTTGCCTTAGCTGAAATTATATCATCAGTCTGCTGCAGGCAGGAGGAAGCGTTTCCTCAGTCTCCTCTTTACTGTTGATAAGACTGCAACACTGTAACTTTGTAGCAAGCCCTAAGGCAGCAGTTCTCACCCCGTCGGGGGTCGAATGATGATTTGCCAGGGGTCGCCCGGGAGCGGCTCCCGGCTGCCTGGGAGAGAAACACTTTCTCCCAGAAGTTCTCCATCAGGTCCTCTTCTAGTGATTGACAGCAGCAGAGGGTGGGTGCAATAGCTAGTTTGCTATTGCAAAGTGAAATAGCCAATAGGAATCTAGCTATGCATTCCTATGGTGGTTTTTTTTTAATTCTGACGGCGTATACCAGTGGTTCTCAACCTGTGTGATTTCTGCTGTGCTAGGTGAGAGTCCCCCTCAGCCCTCTCCTAGCAAGCAGCGTCAGTTCTCCCGCCACGCCGCCAGATGTCGTTGCCGCAGCATCCCTAAATTTTACCGCTGGGAGTCACCGCAACTTGGCAAATGTTACCAAGGGGTCCCGGCCCTAGAAAGGTGGAGAACCACTGCCCAAAGTTAAGAGACTGCAGCAAAAAGTTGAGCTGTTTCAGACACGAGTGAACACAGCCAAAGCACCAGGATTTATATGACTGTCTTTGGTTTGAAGTTTAAAGGTGGTACAAAAACCTTGTATGCCTGTACTTGGTCAGAAGAACTTATTCCGATTCTCAAAGATGTAGATGTTGAGCCAGGAATATATCTAAACCAAGATGCCACCAACCTTAAAGAAAAAAAAAACAGATGTAGCTATTGTCAGGGGGAAGTATCGTGAGAGGTAATAAATGCATGCAAGTGTTACACTAAAGGTGCCCATACACTAAAGGTGCCCATACACTGTACCATTATCGTACGAGAATCGAGGGAAATCCCGCGATCGTACGATAATCGCAAAGTGTTTGGAAGGCGTGCAACCGTTTCTACTGTATGGTCGCACGTCTTCGATCGAACAAGCAGGCTGGAAAACCCACCGTGAATCGTACGATTCTCATCGGGTTAAGGTGTCCATACACTGTACGATTATCGTACGCGAATCGAGAGAAATCCCGCGATCGTACGATAATCGCAAAGTGTATGGAAGGCGTGCGACCATTTCTACTGTACGGTCGCATGTCTTCCGTCGAACAAGCAGGCTGGAAAACCCACCGGGAATCGTACGATTCTCGGCGGGTTAGTGGTCTGCTTGTTCGACAACTGCCGAACGGGCCGGTGCCCGCACAGCATTGCAGTCATCGGAAGCCCGCCTCTCAGGGGGGCGCGGCTTGCGATGATCGCAGGTACGATCTGCCTGTCCAAGATTGGCAGATTGTACGTTTTTTAAATTACTTTACAACCCTCGCAAGACAAAGGTCTTGCAAGGGTTGTAAAGTGTATGGCCACCTTTACACATTACTTAGCATGAATGCACTTACATGAACATGTATTGTATATATAATGCTAGGTCCACTTTCATTTATGTATCATTATTAATATTGTATAGAAGTCCCAACTATTAGATGAAACACTTTAAGTAGGTGAAATTGTTCTAATTCATGTGCTTACTGTAATTGCTAAGGATTTATTTTTCCAGAACACCTATACTCTTGGGATGTTTCCTCCATGGCCACTAATTATGTCTTGAGAGAAACCTCATCTACACATTTTCTTGGATCAGCTGAGTCGTTGTAAATAATAATCTCCTGAATACTCTACAAATAGACATCTCCTCTTCATTAGAAATCTCAACAAACAATATGAAATCCTAGTTTAATAAGGAGACTTCAGAGTGATTATGCAAAGTGCTTGTTGGTAATTGGTAATTTGGTGTGGAGGTGTTGTTTCCTGTCTTACAAAGGCAGCCTTGCGAGATTAAGCCAAGCTCTTGGCCTATAATTATTTGCTGAGCACATTTCCCTAGCATAATTATTAATATTTCTGTTTTTATTATATGTAGATATATTCAATGAAGAGGCTGTCTAACTAAAATAAACATTTGTCAAGTTCAAGAGGCCAGCTTGTGAAGATTAGCAAACAAATTGATTATCATTTTGCTATACATTTCCTGGTTTCACAGCAACATCTTGCTCAGTGTTCTCAAGTTTCTAAATGTTTGATTTGGTGAGCTGCAATGTCAAAGAGAAGGAAAAAAGTAGATAGATCGGTAAGAAAAAACCATGGCAGGTAGCAAATGCCAAAAAGAAATGTCCTCTTTCAGCTTCCTTCTGTTGAAAATAATGGAATATGCCAAGTATTGGATTTTTTGGGGAGTTTTAGATTTAAATTTTGTCCGTTTGATGCAATATTTGCACACATATCCATTTACATTTTTGATTAATTTAACTCCAAGTATAATTAATTTACAGCTAGGCATGTATTAGTAGATAAACTGCTTGGTCATGGTAAAGCAACTGTATATCAGACAGATATAGAGTATATCTGGCTCTACATACAAATGAACAAATCAGAAATATTTGTAATTGCCATTCCTGGCTACTGTTGAACTCTTGTAAGATGATTTCAGTACTAGATCCTAGGGGGAGCTGCAAACTTGCATAGAGGAGTCACAAGATTCTCTGTAGCTCAAAAAGGATAAAACTATTTTTATGTTTTCTGCATGCTCTTAGTTTCTGGGTTGTATAGCGTAACAAAAGCTCTGTTTTCAGCCTCCAGGATGCATTCTGATTTTCAGTTTGTGATTACATATTTCATGAATTAATAAAGTAACTACTAAAATCTTATTACATAGAATCACTCACATCAGTCTCTTTATGCAAAGGAGTCTAATTTCATCGCTGCTCTAAATCAAATACTAGGGCCAGGCTGGAAGGAGGCCAAGTATCTTACTAATATGTTCTAGATAGTGCACACGAAAATGTCATGCAGATAGGGTACCCAGTAAGATTTAAACCCAGAAAGTAGAGCTTCAAGACAGGAATGGTAGCCACTGATAATAACAGTATACTAGTGATGACACAAAGGATAGTGTCATGCACCTGAGCGGAGACCGAATGGATGAGGGGGCTGCCCCTGCGCCTCTTGTCCAACAGTGGGGACAGTGGAGTGTGTGGACAGGGGAGTGTGTGGAAGTGGGGACAGGGAGTGTGTGGACACAGAGGCGAACAAGTGCTGATGAAGCAGACTGCACTGCGTGAGTCCTGGAACTCAGGGGATACGACTGGAACAGGAGACAGAAGCAGGTCGAGGATATAGCCCGAGGTCACAGCCAGCCGGGCAGCGAAGTACAGTGTCGAGAACCAGGAGAGATGTCGGGGGTCACAGGCCAAGGTCGAGAGCAGCAGATCAGCGAGGTACCAGGCAGACGGCAGAGAGTAATCCAGCAAACAGGCCGAGGTCTCAGTGGCAGGCAGCGTGCGAAAGGAGTGGTCAAGAAACAAGCCGAGACAGGTGCAGGAATCAAGCAGACAGATGAGATCACAGGGAGACAGGAACAAGCTGAAGATCTTTCAGCAACCTGTGCACATTACAAGCTTGTTTATATAGGCCAGCCCATTAGTGCAGGTCCTATGCAACTTCCTGTGCGCCACCCTGTTGGCCCGTGCACGTCTTTCATGCGTTGTGTTTCCACGCATGTTCCGTGCATGCCTGTGCACTATTGCATGTTTGGCAGTACGTACTGGGCTGTTCTTATTGGTAGCCTGCATGAACATGTATCATTATTTGTGGACAGCTGTATATAACTTACCTTATCACAATTTATAGATTGAGTCACTTCCCTGTGCACAAGCTGCCAGCTTTAAACAGTAAATATCAGACCGTGGAAAGGGGAAATGTTTGGTTTACATAAACTATGCATGGAACACCTAGGCCAGTATTCAGTAAGACTGGCTACTCATGCACACCTAGGCAACCCTACTTGCACAAAATAACAGTTTGCGTTAATGGCTCAAGAACATTTTTTTTTCATACAGACTGATCGAAGTTTTGTCCATATTCATCGGCCATAACAGAAAACCTACTAATGTAGAGAATCAATTCTGGCTTGTGAATGGATCTAATTTCTGGCATTAAGGGATATCTCTTCAAAATAAACAAAGGGTTTTTAGTTAGCAAATATTTCACTGTGCCATTAAGTCTTGTGTGACTTATTCCCTCTACCTGGGCACCAGTTTGTGGGTCCACCAAAAGTGATAACGTACAAGGTGGTTTTAAGAAAAGGGGAAAAAGGGCACTGTTTTCCTGCCAACCAGGGCAAGGGACCCATTTAGTGCCTTGTAAGTAATTGTGCATAGACTGACAAGGCTGTAAATGAGCTCATATATCTCAGTCCTCTAGTACTCTCTAAAGTCAAGTAACCTCTGGTTTTATGAAGGAGGATCCATTCTTTAAGTTCAAGAAAGCAACATGATCTTATATGTCCTTGGTTCTATTAACAATAGGTACTATATGTCTAACTGTAATCTGTCTAGCTGTACTCTTGGTGGTGGGTTTTAATAAATAAATGTTTGCCCTGGGTCTACTTATGTCTTAAAGAGGCCTACCAGTTTTCATGTCACATGTTTGTACATTATTCCCATCACTAACCAAAGAGTGGGGATTCTAGGGTTGTCTGAATTTTGCAGTATATAAGTTTTGCTTTTTTATTTATACTATTGTAATGCTTTAATAGTACTCAAAAACAATATGAGACATTTTTATAACTTACTAAAAGGCGCCGTGTCTACCTCAAACCAACTTCTTGTATCTCTTGAGGATCCAAGATATCACCACCCAGAATCTCCAAATCTACCCAACTACTCCAGGCATTACAAAACTATATGTACCACATTATAATATAATGTATCACATTATCCCAATGGATTCTCCATGATAAAGGTTAAATACAAAAAAATTGAAAATCAAGTTGTGAGAGTGTTATCTTTCTATAGCCTTACCATAGGGTGCAGATATAAGCAAATGTGTTGAAAACTAAGCACTGAGTGATTGGGTGATCATACTCATTGGATATAGATGAAAGTTTTAAGACTCAGTAATGATTGACGGAAATTTTCTTGAGGGTTTTTTTTGCAAATGATTTAAGTATGTTTTGTTAAGGGATAGAGATATTGGCACCACAGAGGAATGTATTGTTTCCCTCAGTTTTCTTCCTCTTCCTTCTGGGTTTTTTTTTCTTTTTCTTGGGGAAGGAAAAGGGGGGGGAAGGGGGGGGGGGGTTGTGGGGTTTGTTTTTGTCTTTATTTGTAATGTATTTGTAAAGAATTGTATTTCATTATTAAAAAGTATAATAAAAATTATATGATGAAAAAAAAAAGATATCACCACCTAGAGTCTCCAAATCTGCCCAACTGCTCCAGGCATTACAAAACTATATGTACAGTAAGTATCACATTATCCCAATGGATTTTCCATGATAAAGGTTAAATAAAAAATGTGAAAAATCAAGATCTGAGAGTGTTATCTTTCTATAGCCTTACCACAGGGTGCAGATATAAGCAAATGTGTGGAAAACTAAGCAAATGTGTGGAAAACTAAGCACTAAGTGATTGGGTGATCAAACTCACTAATGCCTGCGGAACATAAAATAGCAAATTGGAGTCAACCTGACTTTTATGTAATCAAATGCAAACAGATGTCAGCAATGTTTCACATACAGATCTGCAGCCTCCTGTCACACGATGCTGTGCAAAGTTATTTGTCCTTATGGGAACAAGTAACCCACAGTGGGTAACATTGGGAAGAGCAATTTCCACATTCACACAGCTTAGTAAATCAAGATCCATCCACAGCACTAGATATCCAGCAACAAGGTGACCTAAAGTTAACCTATGGTAATTTTAAATCTAGTAACCTGGCAGAAAGCAGACACCTAAAGGTATGTAAAACTACCTGTTGGCACCACTGCTTTCTATTTCTGTTACCAATTTTGTAGTGGCTACCTCATGGCAATATATTCTAGGGCTGGAACGTACCTATGAAGAAGTCTTTAATTATCTTCAGTCCATCTCATACTACGTGCATTAACAGAGTTGGCAAAGCCTGTATATTATGTACAAAAAAATGTTGGGACAGAGAACAAAGTAAACTCTTATGATAATTAAAATGTATTACATTTCTCCACACAAGAAAGTATTAGCATAGCAGCATCTAGAGAAGGTGTTGGCAAGATTAATAGGCTTGAAAACATTCAGTACCTCTCATGTGAGAAATCCTTTTGTATTCAGTGTGAAGCTTCTGCATTATAATGGTGCCTGAAGGGTGTATTAGAACTGTTCCACTTTTTTTTCCCCTATTCCTAGTACTTAAACTTCTACCCAAATTTTTCAAGTCAGCGAGTTTACTGCTGGTTGACCAAAACCTTTATTTTAAAATGTATGCATTCTCACACATAAAAAAATAAAATTAGAAGGGGCTTAAGGCTCCATTCACACACGAATCGGCCTGCACGTACAGCTCCGTGCTGCGTGCGGGGCAGTACCAAGCAGCTTCCGGGAAGGACAGGTGCTGCGTGTGATTAGTACACAGCCCCCGTCCTTCTCTATGGGGCTACGCGGCCGTACATCCCCCTACACTGGCCCGTCCTGCACATCCGTAGGGGTGCGGGTGAGCATATTCATACGCCGCCGGAATGGATCCTGTATGGGTCCCGGCCAGAAAACCTGCACCCCTACGGACCTGCAGTTGAGATGAGCGTAGGGGGGCGTTCCCCCCGCGTAGCCCCATAGAGAAAGACAGGGGCTGCGTACTAATCACACACAGCACCTGTCCTTCCCGGGAGCTGCTGGAATACGGCCCTGCACGCAGCACGGAGCTGTACGTGCGGGCCCCATTTGTGTGTGAATGGGGCCTAATACAAATCCAGAACAGGTGCTCCTCATTAAGAATGGGCTCGGGCGTGTTCTCAGCTCCATGTGCCGAGCCTGCCAGGAAGCTGACAGCGCGCTGCGCCAATCACGGGTACTGAGACATTTTTCCGGTCCACAGCTGCAGAGATCGGGAAATGTCTCAATGCCTGTGATTGGCGCTGTCAGCTTTCTGGCGGGCTCGGCACCTGGTGCTGCGAACACGCCCGAGCCCATCCTTACTCCTCATATGTAGTCTTCATTCATCCAGTTCTGGTCCCAGTTTTTAATAAAGCCTAATTAATAAGTCTATCAAAAATTAAATGCACTTGTCTGCATTTGCACAGTATTCTGATTCATATCACAACAAATCATTTGAACAATTAGGCATGTCATTCCTTATATCAAAATTCACAGTTATACTGGCTGACAGAAACTGATGGATCAAAACTACTCAGATACCAATTCAATCTTCTCCACAAAACCCATGGCCTATCTGAAGAAGAGAAGAAGAGGATCTTTCCCAGCTTCATAGGAACTACAAAACTTTAACTCTACAATAAAGCAGATTACATGTACAAAATACAACTAAATATTAATGTTAATGGGAAAGAACACTATAGATTGGAGATTCAGGGAGTATCCAATTTTTTCCCTATTGGAGCGTATTGGTTCAAATTTTAGAAGGTTTTCTTTGCCATCTTCTGGATCACCTGTGGATTAAAGTGTATGTAAAGCCAATATTTGTTTTTGTTTGTTTTGGATAAAGTAGGCAATGGTTAAGACCCCTGTCCTTTTTTTTTTCTCCATTTGTGTATCTAAATGGAGATTGTCCTATAGTTCTTGTCCCAGAGAACAGCAGTGAGTAAGAGATATCTCTCCAAAGTAAGAGGGTATTTCCCCTTAGATAGCTGTCATCAGATCACGTTTACCTATTGGAAGTTCTTACTCACTTCCTGTAACAATGAAAATTGTTGGAGTTACCATAACTTTCTGTACCACAGACAATGGTCAATAGGACCACTGGAATGCTTACCTATAAAGAGCCTCCTACAAGTAAAAGGAGGTCAATGTTTTGCTAAAATTTCCTTGACAAACACTTGGGGTGGGGTGAGCCTTTTTCCTTTTAACATGATTTACAGTATGTATCATCAGTTGTGTACAATTCCATGACTACAGCCTATTAGATAATGGAACAAAACAGGAACTTTTAGTGGTGATCTTAGCACAGGATGGCCAGATACTTTTGATAGCTACAAGGTTAATGCATATCTGTAAGGTTTAGTGTTGGAATAAGCCTGAGGTGTTTGGAGGGCTAGTGTTATTATCAGGGGTTAGAGTTAAGGTTGGGTTAGGATTAAGGAGGCGAATTTACCCAGCAGAAAAACAGGCAGCAATAAAAAGCAACGGTTCTAACTCTTCCAAAAAAAGTTTTGGCTCAACATACAGTTTAAGGGTTCCGAGGATGC